TTTCATAAAGGAATAAAGCCTACAGGTATGTTCCGTGTGGCTACTGAAAGAAGCAATGTAATGCCAAAATAAATGACAGAGTCAGCATCTGTATATGATTCATCATAGTTTGCTTTGAGATATAAAGTTAATGTATGTATTGATTTCTTTGCAAAAATCCCAGTTGTGACTTATGTAAATGCATATCCAAGTAGTGTATTGAAATTCTTTGTTATATTTTAGTGCGTGTAAGGCGTGTGAAAGTTTTTCCTTCGGTAAAGCTGGGCGTGACAGCAATATTAAGTAGGTCTTGAATGTCTATTAAAAGGGAAACCATAATACATCAGGCATGTCATCGGCTTAAACAGGATTTTATTGGGAGGCTTCCTGGCGGCTTTGGAATATGACTCGTCGTGGACCAGTATAGACATTTGTTGTATATACATGTACAGTATATTAAATGAACATGCACCAATCTAAGATGCAACTGTTAATTTGCTATTTTATCAACGTAGAATACATTGGAACTTTTAAAAATTGTTTGAAATCATATAAGTTAAGATATACTCGTGTATTTTTATTTTGGGCCAATCCATTATAGATATATAGTAATAACAGTCGCTATTACTCACACACACACACACACACACACACACACACACATATACAACATTAGTCAAAAAGGTTGTTCCACCCCCCTTTCCATGTACTTTTATTTACAAATGATCACCTGTGATCGCTGTAAATTATTAGAAATAGTGCTTTTTATTACAGATACCGTGTCTAACATGATTAATGGTTAAAAAAATACAAAATAGTGGTGAAAATATAAACATTTTATACCATTTAGTAAAATTTATAAGAGGTACCCCCTCAAATCCACTGTTTCACTGTGACTTCTACAGATGTAAAGAAATGTCTATTAAATTGAAAAGACGCTATCAAATGTCACCAAATTCAAATGGGGTGGGACAACCTTTTTGACCAATGTTGTATACTTGTATGTATATGTGTGTATGTGTGTGTGTGAAAAAAATAACGACTGTCTGGAGCTTTCGAACGTTTATTCACCGGCTCTCTTTTACATACAAATTCACAAGTATTTATACTCTATTTCTCCGTACTGATCACGCATTTACTTGTTTTCTTTCCATTGTCTTTATGAGATTACAAGGAATTTTCCATTCTCATGTTGCAAACCGCCATGCAACATTTCCTCATTAGGCAATCTCCAAGAGGCTTGTTTTCAATTAAAAATATTAAAAATATTATTTGAATTATTCATGCTTGGACCATATCCATCCTTAGTTTGCATGTGTTTTACAAGTGTCAGAAACTTGCAAATCAATTGAGAAATTAACCAATCGAATCGAACTATGTGTGACTTTGCCACGTTCCACCTTTTCCTATTACGAAAACAATTCTACACTTGTTGACTCTTAGAGAAATTTAACTTACAATCAATAACTTCCTACTGAACTCCCTATCCTTTTACTCGTTTGATTCCGTTTTAAAATTATCTGCAATTAGTGAAAGTGTAAGTCATTTACTTTATTACTATATGTGTGTGTGTGTGTGTGTGTGTGTGTGTGTGTGAGTGTGTGTGTTTAATTGATTTATTTACTTTCAGTTGTCCCCTGGGTAATGATTAGAGCCTTAAAACCCTATACATGTAAAACAACTTTAGATTATCACCTTAAACTAGTAGGCTACTTTGCCATAAACCCGATCAAAATCAGTTAATTTTTTTAAAAACGAATTCAATAAAATCGCGACGTGAACTTGATGATGGCTGTGCTACCGTGTAGTAATGAAAGCTTTCAAAACTTGAACTTTGGCTACATAAGAAGTCCAGATACTAGATACTAGTAAAATAGAAAGAGCCATCATATCACGTTCTGACCAAGTTCATACAGTCGAGCTCATAACATCCTGACGCTACCGTTATCTCATATCAGCAACTTTGCCCAGGACCCTATCTGGTTATGAAGTGCATGGTTACCAAGCAATGTTTTGAAATTATCATATGTTCCTTTTTTGGCAATATACAACTAAGACAGCTGACCTCCCCCCCCCCCCCCCCCCCCCATCAATGTCTGACATCCGGGGGCGCTGAATATACTGTGGGTTTTTATTTGTTTTGTTCATTTATTTATTTTATATAAAGAGTAAAGATAGATATATAAATGCTTTAATCAAACAAATGAAACAACGATTTCTCACCAAATGTATTTTCATGTTCTAAAAGTCCCATTGATGCGTGGCAAGACCCACCATTTATTGACAAATTTGTTGAAAATTTTATTGACAAATAAGAGACTACTGTTGTTGTTGTTAAGCTCAGTTTTATTTTAAGATGTTGTCAGAGATGAGCAAAACTGGCAGTCTGCAGTGTGGTAAAATGCTGACTGTTGAAGTTGCTTATGTTAGTTTTATCGAGTAAAATGCATAGAATTGGATAAAAGTATATTTTTCTTGTGGATTCTAGTTTGTGTGGGTGGGGCAAGTTTGCACACTTGGACTAGACAATCAAAAAAACTATTTAGCATCCTTCTCAGCCTTTACTGCCCTCTGCCACTGTTACTGCCCATTTGATTGTGAGGACGACCATCTTGAAATGGGTCAATACCTTGTTTTATCACAGTATGATGCACTGCATCATTTCTATATACACACACTGGACAAAAGAAGTGTCANGTCTGACATCCGGGGGCGCTGAATATACTGTGGGTTTTTAATTGCTCTGTTCATTTATTTATTTTATATAAAGAGTAAAGATATATAAATGCTTTAATCAAACAAATGAAACAACGATTTCTCACCAAATGTATTTTCATGTTCTAAAAGTCCCATTGATGCGTGGTAAGACCCACCATTTATTGACAAATTTGTTGAAAATTTGCACACTTGGACTAGACAATCATAAAACTATTTAGCATCCTTCTCAGCCTTTACTGCCCTCTGCCACTGTTACTGCCCATTTGATTGTGAGGACCATCTTGAAATGAGTCAATACCTTGTTTTATCACAGTATGATGCACTGCATCATTTCTATATATATCTCTTCTGCATGGAATCCCCTGAGTCAGGTGTCCGTAAGCTCCTGTGATGCTTCAGACAGCATTTTTGCTGGTTACACTCAGATATAGGCCTGTATGACTAAACTGTGATAGCCAGCCTGATTAAATTGTTGAGTCAGCCATTGAGAAATCTATTGATGATATCCCTGTGAGGATGCAATTCAACAAGATTGCTTTAAATGACAGAAAAACTGAAATTGTCGGGGTTTTTTTAAAGGCATTGATGACTGTGGTAAAAATTAAAAACCAATGTTCGCATTGATAATGTGTCTGTGAAAGCATCTGAAAGTGTGAGAGATTCAGGCCTAACCAACTACCAGACTCGGCACTCAATGAATTAACTCCTGAACTCACTCCTGAATTAACCGGTATATCGGACCACACTACCCGTTTTCAAGGTGTGTGTCAGATAGCATTTCGGAGTATCATACCCAAGAACAAATTTTGTAGGACGACTGCGGGCTCATCCACGCTCGGCTGAACAACCTTAAACTGTACTCTTACTTTAGATTACTTATTTCATTATCTCTATGGGGGTATATGGGGACTTTACGACATTCGGTTTGAATGCTTTAACCACTTTTGATAGGGCTTTTTTTTGCATTGTATTAGATTAATATGCCAGTCTAAGGTTCATCTAGGTGGCTTTCAAATTTATGCACCCGGTTTTTAAATCATATAGCGATTTAATACGACAATCGTTTACTATCCAATCAAGGTGACAGCCGAGCGTGGGCTCATCCTGTCGGTGTTCTGACTGATACTCCGAAATGCGATCTGACACACACCTTGAAAACGGGTAGTGTGGTCCGATATACCGGTTAAGTCAGGATCCTTAGGTGCCGAGTCTGGTAGTTGGTTAGGCCTGAGATTTAGGAGTGATTTTTAATTCAGCTGGAAAAGCAAATCAACTTTTGTAGGTCTGCATCTGTTTCAAAGGATTCGTTATGTACTTGACATACCAACAACCACAACCCACGCCTTCATTACAATAGTCAAAACTTGACCCATGTGCATTCATATGAATACCACGATGCCGGATCGTCGCCGTCTCTTACCATACACAGGTAGTCATCTTCAGCAAAATAGTTGTTAAAGAGAATTCGTCTGGTTTGCTGTGATTTGCATAACACAACTTGCACATATTAATTTGGCTCTGATTGCCCTTCATGCTTTTATTCGTATTATCGTTTCCATGTATCCATTTTTTGCACTCTTGAAATGGGATTTCCCGCTCCAGTTGAGAGCAAACGCAAACGACGTGCTAGGTGAGAATTGGAATCTAGCTAGCATTTGCCTTATAGGCAACAGGAATCCGTGGTGATGCTGTCACATGTGGAAAGATTCTAAGCACACGATGCGGGAGGCATTACACACATCACATGCATTATTATTTGTTCGGATTTAAAGTAATGGCATTTAGTGGTCGAGTAAGGATATAAACATTTTTAGATTCCATGTCAATAACAACAGCACAAGTATGACCTTGTGTAACGCATCTAGACACGTCTATGTTCCTGCTGTCATTTACACCTAGAATTCAAGCTTGGTTAATAAAGACGGGTTGCACTGCATGACGGCTGTGACACTTATTGTGACGTAGATTGCGGTCTTTTAACGGTTTCACCCCAGCCTCAACAATTTGTTATTCCGCAATGTATGTGCTGGGCAGGAAGAATCTTAAAAACAGAGATCTCGGCTGCATTTTGATGTGTATAGATGTTGTTCGGTAGAAGAGTCTAAGAAAAATACACTTTTTATCACCGATCCATTTAGCTGACCGGTAAGTGTACGTGTGCGTACCAGTAGTAACAGTTCTCGAGATAACTTCTTAGGAGCAACCATTTCCACTGGCGAGAGAAGCGAGGGGCAGATTTAGAAAGACTTGTTTTTCGTATCGTAGTCCACGGAAAACGGGTAATGGATTAGATGTATGTCTGAGACCACATCCGGCCTCCGTAAACAACACTATAATCATTAGTGAGCTAAATTCTTCACGTTTCCTGATGCAGTTTAAAAAATGAAATGATGTCTATTTTCAGGGTTTCTAGACATGGCTTTACAAGCCATTCTTTTCCATAAAATAAGCTGCAAAGGGCAGTCTAAGACTTCATGTATTGTGCATGTTCTATATCGCTTCAAGTTGCCTAACCTATGATAGTTATATATACTTGGTTACTTTCGTAAGACGGATTATTGAGGAGATTGATGGGGCAGATGTTATTAAGAAGACCATTAACTAGGAGATATATTTTCTTCGATTTCAACGGCAAATTTGTCAGGTGTTTTTCTTGTATCTCTCTTGGAACACCCTCTATTGTAATCAACTTCTAGCCTGATCTGGTCACGGTTCGTCATCAAATAGCCAAGGTAGGTCACTCGCATGTCATAGTGGGTCACCAGTAAGATACGGCGAGTCCCTAGCATGCCCCGGTGGGTGACCGACAGACTGTGGTTTTCGAGTAAGGGTATAAACATTTTTAGATTCCATGTCAATAACAGCAGCACAAGTATCACCTTGTGTAACGCATCTAGGCACACGTCTATGTTCCTGCTTTTAGGTCACAAATGTTTTATGGTGGGTCACCGACAGGGTGGGGTGGGTCACAAATGTTTTATGGTGGGTCACCGACAGACTGCACTAATGTTTTATGGCGGGTCACCGACAGACTGCGGTAGGTCACAAATGTTTAATGGTGGGTCACCGACAGGGTGGGTCGGGTCACAAGTGTTTTATGGTGGGTCACCGACAGACTGCGGTTTGTCACTAGTGTTTTATGGTAGATCAGTGACATTTTTATCATGTGACCAGGTGTTCGACGACTCTGTCAACTACAGGCCGCAGACATGTATGCAGGTACCTATCCNGTGTATATCTCTTCTGCATGGAATCCCCTGAGTCAGGTGTCCGTAAGCTCCTGTGATGCTTCAGACAGCATTTTTGCTGGTTACACTCAGATATAGGCCTGTATGACTAAACTGTGATAGCCAGCCTGATTAAATTGTTGAGTCAGCCATTGAGAAATCTATTGATGATATCCCTGTGAGGATGCAATTCAACAAGATTGCTTTAAATGCCAGAAAAACTGAAATTGTCGGGTTTTTTTTTAAAGGAACTGATGACTGTGGTACAAATTAAAAACCAATGTTCGCATTGGTATTGTGTCTGTGAAAGCATCTGAAAGTGTGAGAGATTTAGGAGTGATTTTTGATTCAGCTGGAAAAGCAAATCAACTTTTGTAAGTCTGCATCTGTTTCAAAGGATTCGTTATGTACTTGACATACCAACAACCACAACCCACGCCTTCATTACAATAGTCAAAACTTGACCCATGTGCATTCATATGAATACCACGATGCCGGATCGTCGCCGTCTCTTACCATACACAGGTAGTCATCTTCAGCAAAATAGTTGTTAAAGAGAATTAGTCTGGTTTGCTGTGATTTGCATAACACAACTAATGGCATTTAGTTGTCGAGTAAGGATATAAACATTTTTAGATTCCATGTCAATAACAACAGCACAAGTATGACCTTGTGTAACGCATCTAGGCACACGTCTATGTTCCTGCTTTCATTTACACCTAGAATTCAAGCTTGGTTAATAAGGACGGGTTACACTGCATGACGGCTGTGACACTTATTGTGACGTAGATTGCGGTCTTTTAACGGTTTCACCCCAGCCTCAACAATTTGTTATTCTGCAATGTATGTGCTGGGCAGGCAGAATCTTAAAAACAGAGATCTCGGCTGCATTTTGATGTGTATAGATGTTGTTCGGTAGAAGAGTCGAAGAAAAATACACTTTTTATCACCGATCCATTTAGCTGACAGGTAAGTGTACGTGTGCGTACCAGTAGTAACAGTTCTCGAGATAACTTCTTAGGAGCAACCATCTCCACTGGCGAGAGAAGCGAGGGGCAGATTTAGAAAGACTTGTTTTTCGTATCGTAGTCCACGGAAAACGGATAATGGATTAGATGTATGTCTGAGACCACATCCGGCCTCCGTAAACAACACTATAATCATTAGTGAGCTAAATTCTTCAGGTTTCCTGATGCAGTTTAAAAAATGACATGATGTCTATTTTCAGAGTTTCTAGACATGGCTTAGCAAGTCATTCTTTTCCATAAAATAAGTTGCAATTCCTGTTGCAATTTTTAAAAAATGACGTGATGTCTATTTTAAGAGTTTCTAGACATGGCTTAACAAGCCATTCTTTTCCATAAAATAAGCTGTAAAGGGCAGTCTAAGACTTCATGTATTGTGCATGTTCTATATCGCTTCAAGTTGCCTAACTTATGATAGTTATATATACTTGGTTACTTTCGTAAGACGGATTATTGAGGAGATTGATGGGGCAGATGTTATTAAGAAGACCATTAACCAAGAGAGATATTTTCTTCGATTTCAACGGCAAATTTGTCAGTTATTTTTCTTGTATCTCGCTTGGAACACCCTCTATTGTAATTAACTTCTAGCCTGATCTGGTCACGGTTCGTCATCAAATAGCCAAGGTAGGTCACTCGCATGTCATAGTGGGTCACCAGTAAGATACGGCGAGTCCCTAGCATGCCCCGGTGGGTGACCGACAGACTGTGGTTGGTCACTATAGTGTTTTCTGGCGGGTCACCGACAGACTGCGGTTTTCGAGTAAGGGTATAAACATTTTTAGATTCCATGTCAATAACAGCAGCACAAGTATCACCTTGTGTAACGCATCTAGGCACACGTCTGTGTTCCTGCTTTTAGGTCACAAATGTTTTATGGTGGGTTACCGACAGGGTGGGGTGGGTCACAAATGTTTTATGGTGGGTCACCGACAGACTGCACTAATGTTTTATGGCGGGTCACCGACAGACTGCGGTAGGTCACAAATGTTTTATGGTGGGTCACCGACAGGGTGGGTTGGGTCACAAGTGTTTTATGGTGGGTCACCGACAGACTGCGGTTTGTCACTAGTGTTTTATGGTAGATCAATGACATTTTTATCATGTGACCAGGTGTTCGACGACTCTGTCAACTACAGGCCGCAGACATGTATGCAGGTACCTATCAGGGTACTTGTGCGTCTCCAAGGACCCAAATGTGACGTAGAAATTCGCGTAGTTTATTATTTGAGTCCAAAATAAATCTCAACAGGCTTTTTTCCGATCTTCGACCACCAGTGTTGCACCGCTGGGCCCGACAGCCACTTGGGGTCAAAAACGATGCACAATCTCAGACCAAAAACGAAAAAAAGGGGTCTGGTGCAAAAGGTTTCAAGTGACGCGCGCGGTGATGAGGAACATAATATAACTTTTATCGCCTATTCATGATCATCCCTCTCACGCATATTTGATATTAATTGCTGATCTTCATCACGAGCTGAAAGATAGCTAAATATTAATATTATGACAAATATTTTTTTCAGATTGTATATACCCTGTTCAGCACCGATATCTGCCTTCATTACAATGGATGCATACGCAAAAGACCTCATACGAGTGCTATCCTTAGTCATTTCATTTTGTGCGATTTGCTTCGGGATTCCGGGGAATGTGTTTGTAATTCATATAATAAGGAAGCATCCCAGGTTCCGGACAGTCCACAACCTTTTCCATGCCAGCCTCGCCATGGCTGACTTGACGACGTGTCTGATTGGGACTCCATCGTTTCTATTAGCTTGGTGTTTCAGTGCTGGAGACACGGCTTTCAGGGGTTTCATGTGCACTTTAAGTGTCTCTTTGGCGACTACCTGCAATTTGATCAACATAATAACTTTAATGAAGATTAGTATCGTTCGGGTCTATGTCGTGTATAAACAGAAGTACAGTATGTCTAAGAAAACTGGTGTATTTTCAGTAGCGGTCACGTGGGGTGCGGGAATGTTAAGTTTCCTGGTATACATCATCAAAGGCCCAGGACCCATAGAGCACGCATGCGCGGGAAGTACGGAAATTGTTGATGCTATTGGGGATTTGCCAGTTATGATATTATTCTTTTTCATCCCTGCGTTGGCTTTTTTGGCATTGATGTGTATAGGATCCTATGTATATCTGCTAAGACAGGCCAAACGCATGCGTAATCTAATCCATCCAATCACAACAATTAGCCATATCATTCACAGTGGCCATACACCCCCCTGGTGGGGAAATGACCCAAATGGGAGAGGAAGATCAGGCCAAGGCGATGACACTGACGTAAACACGGAGCCTCTCTCTGCAAATTTCATAGCCAACATGGCCGCCACGAGTTCCATTCTAACAATGGTTTATGTTCTGTCAACTCTCCCGACGATTGTCTTATCGGTAATGCAGATATGGCAGACAATTCCAGCACCTATAGTAGAGATGTGTTTCGTCCCTTTGTATTTTTCCATGTTTCTCAACCCTTATATCTATGCCAGCAGAAACAGATTTTTCAAGCATGAATTCCATAAGTTGATTTTAAAATGCCTTCAGTGAATTTTGTGGTCAATTCTAACTTTGTGTCTTATCAAAACCGGATGTTTTCATCATAGGATTCTTCCTGCAACAATATTCCCATTTGCACTTTTCCAAAGTTAATAATTTTCGTAAACAACTTTCACACGTAATGTGAATTAAGCAGGCAACAGTAAATCCTCAGTGAGGAGTGTGCGAATTATTTTATCAATATATGTGTACATCAGTACATGTTTGTAAGGCAGATAAAGCGTTCCAGTCACACTGAATCTTGGGCTGGCGTGCGGTCTATTTGATGTGCCTATCAACTATAAAGACGGATGATGATTTTCAGTCCTCTTGTGCTGCCTGCTGTTATACAGCCTGTCCAGCAATTAGGGCGTCATCGTGGGTTGCATGCGACAGAAGATTCAATAGAGGCCGAAATTTAAGACCACGGGTGATCGAACTATAGACATATGTTTTCTTATGCGAACAATGCCTGAACCTTAAAGGTGAAGTAAAGTAGGGGGAATTGAGTTCATGAAGCAGATCAGTGTATCACCAGATCGGAGCCAGCATGATATCCTAGATCAGCTAAACGACACATCCACACATGGAAAGTAATTGGTGTATCATAAGAAAACACACCTGCGGCCGCTATAAATAACATGCTTTTATCTAGGAAGCATTAGCATGTCGCACTCGTCACCGCAAGGCAATAAAGAATGAAACCCCCTACTTCACGCCAGTGTTCTTGGAAACCTTTCATGAAAGATGCTACATCTCTCAAAGAAGTGATGTTGCTATAAGTGCATTACACAGTGGAATTACATGTACCGACACCACGACATTTTCCACGGGTTTCAGGCAGTCTCTTAATGCAAGAAAGTGAAGACATTTCAGACCAAGGGCAGACCTCACAAAATAATTTTGAGTGAAAATTAATTTCAATTAAAAATTTTGTGATATGGCAGAAATCAACTAAAATAACATTGGATCAAAAATTAAAAAAAAAAAACAGAAGGTGGAATTCGTTTTACACCTATACGTTCTTTATATTAACCCGCTTTGACGGAGTCAACCTGGGTAAAAGTGGTTTGTGAAACCGGCTTTAGACTTCGTTATCATCTCGCCCGTTAATTGCACTGGTGTGACACTTTCACTGAGGACCTTACTGTTAGTTTGTTTTTGATTGCGTCCTCAGGTGTCACTCACTAAGACCAGACCAAAGAAATCCTGTCATTAGATGTGATCGAGCAAAATTTAGTAACCATGGCAACATAAAGCCATTTACGTCCCCAATAGATTAATAACAATATCTGCATGTAAAACTGCAGGATATTGAACTAATTAATCCTAACTACCAGGGGCCTTGCACGGAATATTGGATCCTCTGATTGACTTGTGCACTTTTAACAAAGAAAAAAGTCATAGTAGTACATATCATTGTAGAATGTAAGAAAGAACATTTTATTTTTTATTTTTTACTTTTTCTGTGCAGGTTGAAATCTGTTGATATATAACAAAACCGAAATCAATATTTTGTTTTGGCGTGATTTTACTTTATCATTACCTGGGATATTTCACTCTGCTGCTATACCACTCTCTTTACACCAATTTAGACTTAGATTAGCCAGTATTTTTTCATTGGCAATCGCGACAGGCTGTTGATGTACTATGACATTGACATATTTTATACAGAATAGAAAGAATAATGAATGACCTTTGTATTGTTGTTCCTCTGAAAACATGACTTATTAACCTCATTTTAGCAAAATACAAGGTCAGTTTTGTTAGCTGTAACATGTTCGTGTATAACATCTGTCAGTAAACTGTGATATGAGTTTTAGATCTTCACAAAAATGCACAATGAATGTAAACTATGGTGTCCCTTAATATATACATGTATATATTAGTATGTTGACCGAATACAAATATTTACAGAAGTGCAGAGGTGTGTCCTTTTCTTCTCAATTAACCATGATATCAATGTAATATCTGTTTTAAAAACAACCATCTGCTGAATGCAGCGATGACAGGGACCAATTATTTCAAATTCTATAAACATCATTATCACAATATCAACGTAAAAAAAAGATATTATCACTAGGTATGTACAATATGTTCATGGTTTAGCGTGTCGATGTACCTGTAGATTAGGCAAAACTGTCCCCGAAATAAACGGCAGCCACTTCAGGTTTGAAAGACGTGGAGTAAGAAAATTACTGTGTAACAATGAGTATTTTATAATAATGACAATAATAATAATAACAACGTTGTTTTAGGAAGTTGTGTACCACTTTAATTCGGCGTTCATGTGGACCCCTGTACGTTTACACTCTCTATCCCTTTTGTACCTCAGTACCTTTAATGGATATTGGCATTATTGGTATTGACATTATGGTTCCTTTAAAGCCCACTACTCAATCTTCAATTTTTCTAGCATTAATTAAATACCGAATAGTTTACGTTACACCACTCCACTACCGTTGTGATTGTCTCTATTTCAGTACTCTTATTATTTTCGCTTATAAAACCAATTAGTGTGGCATCATCCGTATATTTCATCGTAAATGTATCCTGAACATCTGTTACACAATCATGGGTAAAAAGAGGGAGAACGCATGGAGATAGCTCACTTCCCTTTAAGGATCCGGTGTATTAATGTCCACACTTGACGTTTTTGAGCCTACTGTTGCAATCAGTCTTTTTTCTCACTAAGAATATCTCAAACCCAGTTGCAAATAACCAATGGGAGACTAAGATTGTTTGAAAGCTTAAATATAATTTGAAAGAAATGATAGTATATTAAAGGCAGAAAAATTGAAAAATAAAATGTGTGCATGGCAGTTTTGTAAACTAAGCACCATGTCAGTATTTTAGTTAACTTGGAAACAAAAATTATTTCTTGAGCAAAAAAAAAAAAATAAATAAATAATAAAAAAAGGGATTTTGCAAATATTAACTGGGTCTGGAAGACTCGCGTGTCTATCTAACAGATGACAAAAGGTTTACAAGTAATTATGACACGAAGATACATTGAAAGTTGTGCGATCAATACCATTTGGCGACTGACAAGCAGTTTTTTGCGATTATATGACACGATCCCTATCATATATTTTGCGCCTTTAAGAAATCTACCGCCAAGGAGGTTAGGGTTTTGGCTCCGTTTATCTGTCAGTTTGTCTGTCTGTTAGCAAGATTATGGAAAAAGATTTTGACCGATTTTGGTGAAATTTTCAGACACTATATGTCTGGAGTAGACCAAGTTAAAAACGGTAAGAGTTTGGTTGTGATCCATTGATTAATTAATTAAAATGGTTTATTAGTTAATTATTTGATAGGTCAATAATGTCTTACATTTTGGTGGCGATAAATGAATTTATTAGCCAATTTTTCACTTAATTAATTAGCTGAACAGCTTCATAATTAAAATTTAGGTAATTTATAAGGTAATGAATAAATAAATATTAATCTTTAATTAATATTAGTTATTAATCTAACTAATAATCCTTGGCGGAAGCCTGCGCTCTCTGAGTGCTATTCTAGTTCCATTATTGGACTACCTCACGACTCTGAAAAAGTGCGATAGAACTAGTTCTTTACAGCCAAAATGTCTCATTTTTTTACCAATGTTTCTTGTTGTATATTGTTAACTGCAGTAAATACGTTAGACCATTAGATGGGTTGACCAAAAAAGACAGCTCCTCAATATAGTCAAAGATAGACAACTGATGTTCTTGGGCCATTCCATCAGAAAAGAGGAATTGGAGAATCATGGCCTTAGTGGTGACAATTTAGACACTTTTGGTCAATGGCGAGAAACGGAAACCTTTGGCAAAATATCAACTTTCGTCAAACGCGATGGCACACAAAGAAGAAGGCATTTAGAAACGCTGCAATATTATTATCAACTGACGTATATTTAGAAGTTGTGGGCGCTTTTAAAGAAAAATGATTCTTGTATTATGATATCAAGTAAACCAATTAGATAATTTTGTTCTCTATTTGACTTGCTTTTTCTGTCTTTTTCTGAGTCTTTTTCACTATTAACAATTATCCTTTCAACTTGTATCAACCGCATGTATCAGTCCCTCTTTGTAAATTACCATATTTCAAATATATGGATAGTAATAGATTTACAGGTAGAAAAGATAGAAAAACGTCATCACTGCCATGACTTATCAGGTCATTTCTTCGAGAACATCCCCGCCCCCCTTTCAAGCTCTGTCTTCACTAACACAATTGGGTTATATTTATGGCGGCCGTCACAATCATGGTTGAGACAGCATCAAACTCATAACAGCTTGACCGGCGGTGGGCTTACACACACACACACACGCACACACACACACACACACACACATATATATACAGTGGCGGATTTAGAGGGGGGGTCAAGGGGGTCTTGACCCCCCTTGAGTTTCTGAAAATATATTATACCAATATTCCCCTCTTGGAATTTTGACTAGCTAAATCATATTTCTAAACCGTACCAAAGGGCACTGTTTTCCATTCAAACAGCATTTTTTGTCGGGGCCGTTGAGCAGGCCCCAAACTCCACACCAAGGGGGGATGGTCGGCTCCGCATCCCCCTTTTAATAATGCTGGATCCGCTCCTGTACTCGCCCCTTCACCTAACCCCAGCAGCTGAAGTAGCAAAAATAACAACACTGTGATGGTGTTTTGAACTATTTTTTATCCACGCTTTACTGCAGTAAAATAAACGAAAGAACATTGTTACAAGAGCGAAGTAGCAGTTTGTTTGTAAAATAGGATAGTAATATTTTTGTTTACAGTTATATTTTTGTTTCCCATCCTCTTATTATCACAGGTCCTTGCTAACATTTAGCCCCGCAAGAATTAAACCACTTACCTCAACCACAACACGAATGTCAACTTTAATAAAGATGAATTAGTATCGTTTTATTCATTTCTTTCTTTCTTTCTTTATTTATTTTGCATAAAGCAGACTTTAACAGTAAAAGAATCTGTGAATATTCTACACATAGGCCTAATGCAAATACATTTATTCTTCCTTCTTCCACGCACATACTGGGGCACCTAGTTGTACTAATTTTGAAATGACCCATACGCTACCTCCAGAATAACGTCAAATGTCATATTTCTTAAACTTGAATCTCTTTTTAAATTGGTTTCTTTTGATAAATTCTTGTTTTTACAAAATAGTGTGCAATCTAGAGTGTCGTATTATACACGCTGAAGGGCTCAGAAAGAGTACTAATTTTGGAAACAGGTTGTATATATTGTCTTGAAATATTTTGCAAGTTACTTCAGATTTTAGCGCTCTCTTTCGGCGTACTCATTGTTTCACAGCGAGAGAAATCACAGTGCGCGATGATTGACGTTTGCTTATATAACCTGCCAATCAAGCTGTTATTACTTGACAGCAACTAAGATCTCAGCAACTATCAAAACTAATTGAATTTGATTGGCACCTTGTCAATCAAAGGATGTAGGAAGCTTGTACTAAACGTGTTCGACGACTAAAGTGATCCAGTGTAATGAGTGTAATTGACGTTTGTTTATATAAACTGCCAATCAAGCTGTTATTACTTGACAGCAACTATAAAAACTAATGAATTTGATTGGCATCTTGTCACTCAAAGGATATTGGAGTTTTACATGTTCAGAGAGAAAAGTGTAGCAACTGTGTTTGACGTTTGTTAAAAAAACTGTCATTCATAGTCGTGTGCGCTGGACAGCTTTCATCAAAAGTGAATTAGCCTGTTTGAATTTGATTCATACCTGTCTATAACAATACATGTCGTAACATTCTGGAGGTAGGGGGTAGTTTATTTCCTTTTTTTGCAGCGCGTTAAAAAACGTCGGGTTCTTTATTTCAACTGAGTGACTGAAATTTAACAACGTGAAAGATTCCCTGGTTTTTTTCACAGGCGTTTTTAATTCATGTATAGTCATTTTACATCATATCCAGAAAAAGAATGTTGTTAACGTTGTTGTCGATGTTTGTAGCTCCATAATCCTTTCTTTGAT